TTAAAGATGATGATACTGTTAATGAATTCCTTCGGCTTAACTCTGTACTTGGTATATTCCCGATTATAAAACCCCCAACTCGTATTACACCAATCAGTGCTACGCTTATTGATAATGTATTCACCAATGTATTTGACTCAGATTTTGACTCAGGTAGTCTATGTTCAGATGTTAGTGACCACTTACCCATTTTTCTAGTCTCTAAAAGCTCTAATAATATTAATAATACTTATCAACCTAGCTCATTTCGCTTTACTCGGAACTACTCAGATGATAATATAAGAAATTTTCAATATGATCTTTATCAGGAAGAATGGACTAATCTTTATAATATGGCAAATGCTAATGATGCATATTCCTTTTTTATTAACCGTTTTACTCAATTGTTGGACAAGAATTTTCCTCTGTCAAAAACTAAACAAACTAAAAGACGCATGAAAAATCCTTGGATTACAAAGTATTTATTAAGATGTATAAAGAAGAAAAATCGTATCATAAACACTTTCTTCAAAACAATACATTGGATAATGAAAGAAAATACAAAAAATATAGAAATAAATTGAATAATCTGGTAAAGAACGCAAAAATATCATACTTTTCTAACAGTTTAAAGTTATATAAAAATAATACTAAACAGACTTGATCAGTTATAAACTCATTACTAAATAAGCCTAAAAAATCTTTACCTGAATACTTTTTTAATGGAACTGAGAAAGTTTGTGATCCACAACATATAGCAACGGAATCTAATCAACATTTTATAAACTGTTGTAGACGGATAACCACATCAATGGTCAGTAATACTTCTAACAACACTTCTTTTAAGGATCATCTGACTGGTTCTATCAACAATTCTTTTTTTTTTAAATCCTGTAACAGAAAATGAAGTTCTACATATCAGTAGTTCGCTACACAACATTAATTCAGTTGGATTTGATAATCTTAGTACTAACTTAATGAACAAAATTACATTTTATATTGTACAGCCAGTAGTATTTATATTTAATCTCTGTCTTTCTACAGACTTAGTCCCTGATAAACTAAAAATAGCTAAAATAACCCCCGTATTTAAAAAAAGATGATCCTCATAAATTTGATAATTATAGGCCAATATCTATTCTGCCGTCTATATCAAAGTTGTTAGAAAAATGTATTTATAACCGATTATATTCCTTTTGTTTAAACAATAAAATTCTCACAGATTCACAATATGGCTTTAGGAAAAATCACTCTATCAATCTGACATGCTTTGATAGAATTATAAGATAAAGTTTTGTCAGCAATTCATACCAATAAATTTTGCATTGGAATTTTTATGGACCTTTCAAAAGCCTTTGATATTGTTGATCATAGAATACTTTTATCCAAATTAGAACACTTTGGGATTAGGGGCTTACCACTATCTTGGTTTGGAAGTTATCTTTCTAATAGATCTCAATATGTAGTTTATAATAACAGTTCCTCAAATTTTTCTTCTATTACACACGGCGTACCACAAGGTTCTATCCTAGGTCCTCTACTGTTTTTAATATACATTAATGATCTTACACATTCTTCTGACAAATTTAATTTCATTATGTACGCTGACGATACTACTTTAATGTACACCCAATCTAACACTCATAACTTACAAAATAATATCAATACTGAATTAGACAAAGTAACAGTCATGATTCATTGGCTAAGCAATGGCCTCGTTACTGTGAGCCCCCAGGATCAAAACCGTGTCGATGTGCTATATTAGTGCCCTTTTATGAGGCATTAATCCCCATTACTGTAAGTTATGACTTAAGGACGTAGGTCCCCTAGTTGATTAGCATAGTAGCACACCTATTCTTTAGCAGTCACGCAAAACAAACACTCCCCAATTGTCATTCAATAAAATCTGAGAATGTATACTATTATCTAGATCTATTAGGAATAAATCATTGTCAAAATCATTCAATAAATTGGGGTAAAAATTATTATTCCACCATTATGACCAACAGTGTATTATACAGATTAAGAGACTCGCTTCCACCTTCAGCATTATTACTACTTTATAATTCATTCATGCTTTCATATTCAAATTATTGTGTTGCTGTTTGGGGTAATTGTAGTCAAACTAAATTAGATAAATTATTTAAATTGCAAAAAAAAGCCCTTCGCATATGCCTTGAATGTCATTATCGTGCCCATTCTGCCCCACTGTTTAGAAAATTGAAATCTCTTAATATTTTTCATTTGTACTCCATTGCCCTCCTTGGTTTCTTTTACTTTCAAAATAATGTATTTTCAGATGTTCACTCTTAATTACCAGATACATAATCACAATACCCGTTTTAAGGATTCTTTTCACTTATGGCCAGTAAAAACAAATAAGGTAATGAAATCAGTACGTCATAATTTCCCTGTGATTTGGAACTCCATCCCCAAAGATGTTTCTGATTGCAAGTCAATTAATTCCTTCAAAAAAAAAACCTCAGTTGAAGCAGTTTCTTTATCTCAAATATGTATGTTACTTATCTCATGTTTATATTTAAGTCCTATGTTTTTTGTTTTGTTTTTTTAATATTTTTGTTAAATCTTTTATTTACATTATGCTATGAATGCTTTGGGAACTATGCTTGTACAAGGCCTAAGGGCTTTATTTATGTAGTTCCCCATTTAATTTCTAAATTTGTTCATGAATAATTTTGTATCTTTTGTATCAATGCAATTTTTAATCGAGAATGAAATAAATGCGAATTCAATGCAATTCAATTCAATAAAAATGAATAATCAAGTTATAAAGCGTGTAAGTCACACAAAATTCTTAGGCGTCTTGATTGATGAAAAACTTACATGGAATAACCATATAACAGATGTAACAAACAAAGTATCCAAAAATGTTGGTGTCATCCGCAAACTTAGCAATTTCTTCCCTCAACGTATTCTTATTACTTTGTATAATACCTTAGTCTTGCCTTATTTAAGGTATTGTAATCAAGGGTGTCGATTTGTATCCGTGGTTGGGGGGGATGATAGGTGCCAAAATATTTTCGGCAATGGATCAAAGCAACCAAGAGATAGAAGCATGTGGCAGTTTGCACCCCCTCCCCAAAAGCATAGCCAGGATTTCATTTTAGGGAGGGGCACGCGAAGCGCGCTCCCTAGGGAGTTGGGTGCAGGGAGGGGGAGTTTCCCCCCTCCCCCGCGAAGCGCGGAAGTTTGACGTTTCATTAAATTATTAGAGAAAGAAGGCGATTCGTTGGACCGTTCTCGACTCTTCATCTTTGTTTGAATCAAGTTCCCCTTCCTCCGCGCGTAGCGCGGAAGCTCTGGCGTTTCCTTAGATTAATAAAGAAAGAAGACGATTCGACGTACCATTCTCGACTCTTAATCCTTAATGTTTGAATCAAGTTCCCCTTCTTCGCTCGTAGCGCGGAAGCTCTGACGTTTCATTAGATTATTAAAGAAAGAAGACGATTCGTTGTACCATTCTCGACTCTAAATTCTTGTCTGAATTCAGTTTCCCCGCTCCCGCGCGAAGCGCGGAAGCTTTGCCGTTTCATTAGATTATTAAAGAAAGAAAACGATTCGTTGTACCATTCTCGACTCTTAAACGTATTACAAAGTTTTGGTATGGGGTCTTGAATTTGGTTCAAAGGAACTTATTGGAAGCTAATGCGATCCTACAATATTCAGTGATCGTTGTCGCAGTTGAAATCGAGTCTTAAGTTATGAAATTGTAAATAATAAACTCTTTATGTTGTATAGCTCCCTCTCAAGGTCAAGATATTAATTAAGCTATAAAACAATGTTTATTGACTGAAATCGACCGATTAGCTATTCCTGTTTGAAAATTATATATCACAACTACATATTGTGAGATTTTCATGGTCGTAGCTACCATTGAACAGCCGTAGGTGCTATGTGAAATTTATAAAAATTTACCGGGAGCACCGGTAAATTTTTATATTCAATTTTTCTCGAAAGTAGGAGTGTTTTAGGGGCTAAATTTTCTAGTGCTTATAATACATCCACAGGGGCATCCAAATATATCAAAATTGTAAAGAATCACTATTCACCCAATTTTCAAAATGTTCCAAAACTTTGTATTACCTTTAATCCTTGTCTGAAGTCAGTTCCCCTTCTCCGTGCGAAGCGCGAAAGCTCTGACGTTTCATTAGATTATTAAAGAAAGAAGACGATTCGATGCACCATTCTCGACTCTTAATCCTTGTCTGAATTCAGTTTCCCCGCCCCCGCGCGAAGCGCGGTAGCTTTCTCCTTGTATCCTATCTCATCACGAATTCGTCACAGAATTCATCTATGTTTACACTGTCCAGGATTGTCTGATGTGCATTGCAGATTGCTACTTTTGCGCTCACGCGCTAAACATTTAGCTCGTTGCTTTTTAACGCTGCGTCTTTGCATTTGGCGCACTGCATTTCTATGATGCTGTTGATTGAACAAATTGAATAAATTCATCAATTCCTGATGAAACCGTATGAGCGAGAATTCAATTTATTCTTGTCTCATATACGGTTGTCTCATTTACTTGGTATATATGTATGTATTATGAAAATGAGAAAGCAAAATGTGAATATTGATGGTCATCTTGCGAGTAATAACCATTAACTTTTCTAATCGGGCTCTCATCATTAATTTTTCTCTTCTTTTTTTGTTGTTGTTGATGGTGAAATATTGGGGGGATGATTGTACAGGCCACCCCCCCCCCCACCTCAAATATTAGGGGGGATATATCCCCCCCCATCCCCCCCCCGGGATCGACACCCATGATTGTAATGTAGTGTGGGTAAACACATATCCAACAAAATCACAACCATTGTATCTATTACAGAAAAGAGCTCTTCGTATATGTTCATTTTCTTGGAGACAAGCCCATACTAAATAATTATTTGTTCAATTTAATGTTCTTACTGTGTTTCAACTCAACTCTTACTACTGTTCAATATTACTTTTTAAACATAAGCAGAATATGCTCCATAAATCTTTATCATAAAATATGCTCACTTCTAATACAACTGTTCATGACCATAATACAAGAAGCAGAAATAAATATCATCTATGGACTGTTAATACAAATTACTCACTATTCTCTTTTAGACATCATGCTCCTGTTATCTGGAATAATCTGCCACTAGAAATAAAATCACTTAACTCAATGAATACCTTTAAAAGAAAACTGAAATCGTACTTAATCACAAGTGTTTGAAATTTTGAATTGTTGATTTTACTGCCTTGTATTGTCCTGTGGTGGGTTTGTGCGGTAATATGTATTTTTAAAATAAAATATGTCATATTTTCATAATTGTTATTCCTTTATAGTACTTTATTATCTTTTAAATTTTCTATATTATATTGAATGTTCAATGAAACTTATTTTACCTTCATCAAGGGTGGTCGTCTTGACAAATCCCAATGTAAGTTTTTTTTATGGCCACCCAATTCCAATAATGCTCTATCTTATGATGTATATCGCTTTGTAGTTTTTATCATTTTACCTTATTTTGTATTCTTGATCGATTTATACTCTTATTCTGTCATGATTGTATTCTGTTTTGTATATTTTATTGCAATTGAATAAACTGAACTTGAACTTGAACTTGAACTTGAACTTGAACTTGAACTTGTACTGCGTAAATCGGTTGAATAGCAGTGTTTCCGGGCTGAGGGGCGCATCCTGGCTGGGGTGCGTATCTGGGCTGGGCAGCAGGGTAGTCGGGCTGAGGGGCGCATCCTGGCTGGGGTGCGTATCTGGGCTGGGCATTAGGGTAGTCGGGCTGAGGGGCGTTGCCGGGTTGAGGGGCGTAGCCTTGCTGAGGTGGGTAGCTAGGCTGTGGGGCATAGCCAGGGGCCTGGCCTTGGGGTGGAGGGTAGCCTGGCTGTAGTGGGTAGACTTGCAGTGGTTGGTTACTTGGGACTAGGTGGCCTAGCTGTGATGGTAAGCCTTGCTGTGGTGGGAAGCCGGAAGCGTAGGCTAGAATCTGAGCAAAATGAATTACATGGGAAAACAGTGGGTGTCACTGAATAAGGCTACCATATGACAATTAACCCTAGGACAATTACCCCCCCCCCCCCGGAAAATAATCCCGTTCATTGAATGGGAAGTCCACCCCTCATAATAAGTTGGTTTAAAAATGTTCGGGGAGTTATTGTCCTCGGGGGGGGGGGGGGAATGAGTGTCCCAAGGGGGCAAATTTCAAGGGGGGGGGGGTAATTGTCAACGGGTAGTAATTTTTAGGGGGTAGTAATTGTCCTCGGGGAGGGATTTGATTGTCCAAGGGGGTAATTGTCCTAGAATCGTATACTTCACTGTTGGTCATAATGGTGGAATAATTATTTGCAAAATGCAATGAATTATTGATAATTTATTGCATTTTCTTTTTATCTTTTTTTGTATTTGTGGGGGCGGCGACGTACCCAAGCCCTCGCTGCGTACAGTCATGATTCAGGGGCTAAGCAATGGCCTCGTTACTTTGAGGACCCAGAATAAAAACCGTGTAGATCAGCTATATTAGTGCCCTTTTGTAAGGCATTATTCCTCATTACTGTCAGTTATGACCGAAGGACTTAGGTCCCCTAGTTGATTAGCATAGTAGCACACACATGCTTTTAATAGCAGTCACGCAAAACAAACACTCGCGAAGTATTATTCAATAACATTCTGAGAATGTATTCTTTTATTTAGATCTATAAGGAATAACTCATCGTCAAAATCATTCTATAAATTGGGGTAAAAATAATTATTCCACCTTAATGACCAACAGTGTATAACCCCGATCCGAAACCAATGCCTAGTTAATCAATGGTCATTATTAAATTTGACTAAAACAATTAAAAATAAATTAAATAGTAAAAATTATGAATTTGGAGGGCATTAGGAAACTAAAAATGTGAATATAGATCTAAATGGGACAATAATGTGGAGATGAGTTTCGCCTTCTTCGCAACTTTCCCAGGGTTTCATTAGACCAACATTGCAAATCTTATGGACTGTCAGTCAGTCTGCCGGGATGTTCCTGTTTAAATAATCTTTCAGTTGTGATATTTATTTACATGAGCCTTGTTGAATTATGCACCTGCTGTAGTTTAGACAACAATCACGTACATGTACGTCTGCCCTATTTATTAGTGCACTGACAGGGTAACATAGGCGCCGGAAGTGGGGGGGGGGGGGCAAAACTCACTTTCGCCCACCAAAACGCCCCCTAAAAAAAGCAGTAAAGAAGTACAGATGGTTTGTATTTTTGTCACCAAAAAGAACATTAAAATAATAAAACCAGAATTGAATCAAACACAAATTATATTCCATTTAAAAAAAGGGAAAGTTAACAGGAATTAAATTTCCTATACATTCCGCATGACCCTATAGTAATCACTGGAGGTTTTTAATATTGCTGAAATGACATGGTTTTCCGGTATTTTTTCTTATTTCAAATACCCAAATTTACAGTCTGGCTACAAAAAATATGCTTATTTAGAAGCCTACAAGTCAGGGCCTGCAGAACGTCGGGGGCTCGAGCCCCCCTCACTTTTTTGAAAAAGTATGTTAAATGGAAAAAGAAAGAAAGAGAGAGAGTAAAAAATGAGTGACCTGCCAATATTATCTGACCGAAATTATATACATAAAACCCCTGAGCTTCCGGAGGCTCCGCCCCTAGACCTCCCGCTAATTAGTGACATGCAAGTGTCACAAATAAAGTATCTAAATATGCTTATCTGACGGTAATTAAATACCTTAAACTCTGAGCTTCCGGGGCTCTGACCCCTGGACCCCACCAAGGGCCCTAAGGCAGCCCCCGGATGCCTATCTGACCGTAATTAAAAACCTAAAAACCCCTGAGCTTCCGGGGGCTCTGTCCCCTGGACCCCCCGCCAATTACTGACCTACCAGTGTCACAAATAAGGTATCTAAATATGTTTATCTGACGGTAATTTAATGCCTAAAAACCCTGAGCTTCCGGTGGCTCAGTCCATTGACCCTACGCCAATTTACGTTCGCTACGCTCTACCTGATCGTTTATGCTCCACTTTGAAAAAACGTTCCGCGGGGCATGCATGTACATGTAACATGTAAGAGTGGTCGTGATGCAGATTTTTCTTCTGCCCCCCCCCCAAAAAAAGGTTTTTGCTTATTACGCCACTGCTCCTGGAAGATGAGCCCCCTGGAATGTTTTTCCCTCCCCCCCCCCCAAATCCCATACTGCTTTCGGCGCACCTACATGGTTAGCTTTCACCACTTCTGCGATGTAAAATTATGAAGAAAAAGAAAACGAATTTTATTATATTTCATCATCAGTTCTCCATCTGATCCAAAAGGGATATTTACGACATAAAAGGCCCATTGTAGCTTTCTTACTCAGTGGTTTATCTATGAAGGGGCATGTGCACCGGGCAGCACTTGAAAGGCCGCAACAACAACAACATGGAGAGAAGAAAATGAATTAATTAATTATGGTTCGAGGAAGAAGTAAATAGAAAACTACATGTACTAAACTGAACCCGCATATTGATGGTTCGAATCCTCTACTCTCGATGAAAGCCATAGATTTATTATATAAAATTCTAAAGTTTGGGTAGTGAGTGGGTAAATTGAATATATTTTGATGATTTTACCATGAAACTTATAACCAGCCCCCAATCCCCCATTTAAATATGCTCATATGCCTATGATATCAGTACTCTCATAATTTGCCCAAGGTGCCATAATACCTTTATAATGGATATGCAACAGTCACCACTGGCGTTAAGTTTATGATTTTGAGAGAGTTACCGCAGCGAATGCACAATTCTGTAAACAAAAAAGAAGATGTTTTTATCACAGCCATGCAGCTGTTATCCGTAAAAATCAATGAACAGAGTTTGGGGAATTCCACAGTGTTGGTAGTGGTTGAGTGGAGCAGGGCAGCTTCGTACTTACAATGTACATGTAGTAGTACATACTGTTTGTGCATGGAGCCTATAGGGGCATATATTAATACACATAAATTTTGTTGTGACACTGGGAGTGTATAATTAGGGGCCACATTTCTTTTTGTAATTAATGAGTAGACTACTTCAATTATGTCTGAATCATAGGTATTGCTGGGAGGAGGGTTGTGCCCTCCCAGAGTCCCATGTCCCTCTTACTCGTATCCACCAAGTGCTGTACATGACTCATGCAACACGAGGATTATATATGGATGATACTAATTGTAGTAACTGCCTCTATCACCGTAATAACATTAAACAGCTAATTTCTCAGGACTTCCATTTTACTTGAAATTGAAGTCACATCCTTATTCCATTCATGTATTTATGTGAATTATTTACCCGTGTTTACTTATTTCTGATATGTATACAAGCTAGCACATTTCCACCAATATAGTGGTCATCTTCCAGGCAATAACCATAAGGTCCTGTTTGGTAATAATTATATTAAATGACAAAGCAGATCTGCAGTGATCTATGAATAAAAACTAACAACTTAGCACTACATCATCATTTAAGGGCTAGGTGATGATATTAAATATGATATTGATATGTATTTCATATTATCACCTAAATATACACATAGCTCGTGCATATGAAGTGGGCGAGTCTGGCTAGGCTAATTATCACCAAGCCCTTACATGTAATTAACAGCAACAACACAAAATACAGTAGAAAGAAACATGAACTTTATATAGATCTCTGCAAATTCTATAATTCTATAATTTTAAATATACACAATCAATTATCAATCAGTTATGCGTACCGATAAATAATGTAATTGACATTGGAATTGTGAGGTGGTCGAGAACTCGAAATCAATGACAGACAGATCCTGTGAGAGGGCCAAGCAAAGAGTCTTTATTAGTAGTAACCAGTAACAGACACATTCGAATCACTAATGCCGATAATCATGGAGATCATGCATTCCCCAAAACATGTCATGTTATCAAATATTAAACGAGTAAATTTGCCCTTTAAAAACCAATTGCCACAGTACAATATAGCTGAAACTCTCAACATTAACACAGGTAAATACCTGACCCAAATACTTAAACAACTAGAAGTAACAGTCGATATAAACCTCATATAAAGCAACACATTCATATATTTATCTTCCATACTTTTCTTACTTCCAAGCAAACTCCAATAATCTCCTGGTCTAACCCTAAACATTGCTCTTACTCCTATTATTCCATCTCAATTTAACATGTAACACTATTCTTTTATAGCAATCTGCAAAATAAGAAATAAGGTTTACAATGATAGAGGGCGCTAGAAACCCTGAAATGGCTACATAGTAATTAATACCCCCTAGCTTAGCAACCAAAATACAAACAACATGCAATACTTTTAAACACTCAACTTCTATTATAAGCACTTCTTTTCTATGCTCCCTACCGTTCTTACTGACTTCATTCCTAAACCAAGACTTATACTCATCACATCAATTAGAGCGTACCCTGGTCCTGGTCCTGGCCCTGGGACCAGGCACAACATTAGCGCGCACGCACTACACCCAATTTTGGTACCGCGCGTTCAACTTATTAGTGTACATAACCATGTACTACAATGTAAATGCATATAACAAATCAAAGCACTAAGCATCACACAGTTTAACATTAAATCCTCGTTTCCAATATAATCATATCGACCCACATGATACATCAAAATAACTACTGAAATCGTTCTAACACAATACACGTATGTACATAACACATATTTAGCATAACAACATTAATATTTACTAAACATAAAAGTGGTTCAAGTTTGGTCAACTCACCTGTGAGAGGGCCAAGCAAAGAGTGCCGGCTTGTCTCAGCACTCCGCCCTCTACAGGTCACAGGGTAATTTCCTAACCCCTTACATCCTTCCCCACTTAAAACGTCATCGCCCTCGATGACCGAAGGAACAATATTCAAACCATCAACTACCAACAAACGTATAACAAATAATAACCTTGCCACTAAGGTAGCACGTGGCGACATAACACCTATATTAAACTGCACCATTACCTGTATCTTTCCACTACACAGCAGTCCCATTTAAGTGTCATTGTGCAAGCTCGCAAAAACACAGTATACACTATAAATACATATATACAAATATAAAGACATCCCAACATGGCTAATTAACTGACTGTTACTAGCGTCGAGACGTCAAACCCAGCATAAGTCGTCTCACCAAAAAGTTATCTCCCAACCTACAACTCAAATAGGAATGCACTAATCATGTTATCTATCGCCATTAAATTCGCACATAATGTCTATAAATCAGCGTTTCATGTCCAAATGTCAGCCACGTATCACAAACGGTAATTAAATATAATTGAACCTCAATAAAAATGAATGGGGTGACCCAGTGCTGGACGGATCCACACCAGACCCCAAAACAAGCTTAACAAGTACATAAAAAGGCATGTGTACATGATATACAAAAATCGTATGCAATATCTTATCGCATATCTTTCTTCTTTGTAAATATCAAAAACCAAAAATAAAATTTGTTGCTAAAAGTCATATCCTGTCTCTAAACAAAAACATAATCCTCTATAACGCTATCAATCAAAACTATAAGACCAAAATATAGCAAAATGACTAAAATTCAATCAGGGGCCCTTGCTATCGGCCTAGCAGTTCGTAGTTCTGACTGATGTTGCTGGACATACGACTTGGCGTTTCTCTGACGCCCTGGTTGTCCTTCCCCACTTAGGACCAGACCATGGGGAAGCCTTCCATTTCTCCCGGACATCAAGTAGAAGGGTTCAACACCAGTACTCGCATGGACAGTGCTGTTGTAGGCATATACAAAAGAGGGCAGGTAACGATTCCAGCGTCGCTTCTTGCTCTCAGGCAGAGATCCCAGCATGTTGTGGTGAGTGTGGTTCAGGCGCTCATACTGACCACCAGCCGAAAACACTTCGCGATGTTTCTCCGGAAGACCCTCTAGATCTGTGCGTTCTCCAAGATACAAACTCGTCCAGTCCACATCAACCGGATTCTCATCATTCTCGACTGACAGTTCATCTTGCTCCGTCTCTCGCACGACTGATGCTTTGCCGCAAAGGGCACCAAGTTGGACAGCCTTTGGGATCACAATCTCATCTTCCTTATTGCGGATTACGATGGGGGATGCCTCCTGATCTTCAAGCACCACAGTCTGACGTGCAGATATCGCAACACTTCCCTCATGTCTGAGACGGGCTGTTTCGTTTTGTGGCGTCTGTTCCACAGGGATCGAAGATGGGGCAATTGGTGGTCCTTCTGGTGGCGGCATCCATACCCCCGGGTTGGGCAAAGGTACTGGTAAGGGTCCGGTCTGCTGTACCCAGCCGCCAGGTGGTTGCCCATAAGGTTGCCCAGGATGAGATGCCCACCCATCGGGATGGAGAAACGGTGGCGGTGCAGATGGTCCCCCTCTCGGTGCCCAACGTCTATATTGCTCTGTATACTGGGGGCCCTGTTCCCTGTCTTGACGAGCCCTGGTATCATGAAGTCCTTGTCTCTTATATGGACATTCCCGAGCATAATGTCCCCAACCGCTACAATTGAAGCATTGTACATTCTCTGCATTGCGAGTCAAGGGTGGTTTCAGCGATGTTGCTAGGTCGCTAATTGCTCCGACGACTCGATCGGCCAGTTCCTTTACTGCCCGCATCATCTCTACTACATCTGGCCGGTTTGTCTGTGTTTGTAGCTGTGACTGGAGGGCCATCTGGTGCACTGTTCCTGTGGAACTCTTGAAACGGGCCTCCTCCCGCTGCTCCCTCCTAATGGCAACCTCCCTGAGTTCCCGGAATTGAACTGATGTTCCCCCCTCATACCTATCTTGGAGGGTGTTCCTAAGGTATCGGTCGTCGATTCCCTCGATAAACTGCTCAGCTAGGGTGGCTTCTGGTTCCGAATATAGTCGGCCACTCCAGCTCGTGAGGCGGAGAAAACGGTTTTCAAGGTCCAACGCGAAATCTCTGACGCTTTCTCCTTTTTGCTGCTTCCTCTCCAGGAATAGTCGTTGGAGCTCCCCCACCGGGACATGGTCCGCATACGAGTCCTGAATGTACGAGAGGATATCTGCGATGCCTTTCCCCTCTCTAATTAGCGACTTCACCTCCATCTTCGGTCCATCTTTGAGATAATCTAGGATGAATGCCCCTTGTTGTTGGTCGGGAATGGCGTACTTGGCGAAAGCACTCCTCATGGAGTTGACAAAATCTGCAACCTCTCCTGACCGGCCTCCAAATGTGGGCAGCTTTCTTTCAGGTGCCATAATAATCTGGGGTGGGGGGCGGGACAACTTTTCCAACTGTCCTTGGACACTATCCCTGTTGTCCTCTTTAGGTTGGAGAAGTGGCCGGTAGACATGACCCCACTCCCCTATTGGATGGATCTTCCCCCCGATAGCAGGTACAACTACCTCCATCCCGTCTGTGTCTAAATACACCAGCCCCTTGGCCTTGGGGAAATTGGTTTGTAATGCTTCTAGGCTAAGGGGCCCATCAGTACCCGTCAAAGGAAATTTTAATTTCCTTCCCCCCTCTTCAATCCTAACGTACAAAGCCATATCAGCGAGTATCAACAAAAAAATTAACAAGCTATGTTCCAATTGTATACAAGAACTTTCCTAATATATATCTTAGTCTCAAAAACTTCGATTTAAATCATGAAATATATTCACTTAGAAATTAGTCCTTTGAACTATAACACCTTCCGAAGGATTTCAATATCAATATTAAACCAAGGTACTATCACATGTTCCAAACCGACTTCAAAAAAATAAATCTATTGAATCTAAACATTCTCAAAACTTGACCGACTCTCAAATTTCCAATAACATCAATATCAAGAATAATTAATTACCTTTCCATAAAAGTAATACTCTTCAACCACATCTACTCACTTCAGTTAAAAAAACATTTTCCCCAATACCTACATGTAGCAATATTAATCTTTAACAAAAACAACTATCTTAAAACTTAAAATACATTCTTAAAGTAAGTTCTCGAAGCAAGTTCTTGAAGCAATGTTCTTTCACCACCTTGCCATGCACATCGTCGTCGCTCTATCACTCATTGCTAAATTGTGTTCAATGTGTCCAGGCTCACTATTATCGTTCCACGACTATTATTCAATGAACAGCACTCCTTCTAAAACTATACGAGTTCCTGACGTACACATCTACTTGACTCTTTGCGAGGTCTTCCGGGCATGGTCTTGTCACCCTCGTCGATGATGTTGCTGTTGCACACGCCGCCGTCCACTTGGGTTCGAATCCCATCCTTCGGTCGCCAGTTGTGAGGTGGTCGAGAACTCGAAATCAATGACAGACAGATCCTGTGAGAGGGCCAAGCAAAGAGTCTTTATTAGTAGTAACCAGTAACAGACACATTCGAATCACTAATGCCGATAATCATGGAGATCATGCATTCCCCAAAACATGTCATGTTATCAAATATTAAACGAGTAAATTTGCCCTTTAAAAACCAATTGCCACAGTACAATATAGCTGAAACTCTCAACATTAACACAGGTAAATACCTGACCCAAATACTTAAACAACTAGAAGTAACAGTCGATATAAACCTCATATAAAGCAACACATTCATATATTTATCTTCCATACTTTTCTTACTTCCAAGCAAACTCCAATAATCTCCTGGTCTAACCCTAAACATTGCTCTTACTCCTATTATTCCATCTCAATTTAACATGTAACAATATTTTTTTATAGCAATCTGCAAAATAAGAAATAAGGTTTACAATGATAGAGGGCGCTAGAAACCCTGAAATGGCTACATAGTAATTAATACCCCCTAGCTTAGCAACCAAAATACAAACAACATGCAATACTTTTAAACACTCAACTTCTATTATAAGCACTTCTTTTCTATGCTCCCTACCGTTCTTACTGACTTCATTCCTAAACCAAGACTTATACTCATCACATCAATTAGAGCGTACCCTGGTCCTGGTCCTGGCCCTGGGACCAGGCACAACATTAGCGCGCACGCACTACACCCAATTTTGGTACCGCGCGTTCAACTTATTAGTGTACATAACCATGTACTACAATGTAAATGCATATAACAAATCAAAGCACTAAGCATCACACAGTTTAACATTAAATCCTCGTTTCCAATATAATCATATCGACCCACATGATACATCAAAATAACTACTGAAATCGTTCTAACACAATACACGTATGTACATAACACATATTTAGCATAACAACATTAATATTTACTAAACATAAAAGTGGTTCAAGTTTGGTCAACTCACCTGTGAGAGGGCCAAGCAAAGAGTGCCGGCTTGTCTCAGCACTCCGCCCTCTACAGGTCACAGGGTAATTTCCTAACCCCTTACAGAATGATTGCAGGTGAGATAGACATAGATCCCCCACTTATCGGCCTATAATCCATATTGTTTTTCCTTTTCACAGGGGCTTTGAGAACCAGATAATTGACTGAGTTGGATTCAAGTGGTTTCCAGATCAGACCAGGC